TCAAGTCTATCAACACCATTTTATTATTTTTAACCTGTACCTCTTCCTCAGCATAAGGCTCGTCGTCATGGCTGACTGCCTGCTGTACCGAGAGCTTCCTGGAGCCGGTGAGGAGAAACCCAGGACTGGTCCGTGGTCTTCGAACTGGGCTCGCCTGGCCCTCTAGCTGGGCGCTCACGTGTTTGGCGGGAGCACCACCGCGGGGCGGCATGTTGTGCTCGCTGGGTTTTACGTCCCCTTCAGACCTCTCGTTGGGATGTCTACAGACGCTAACACGGCCAAGTTAACGATGTTCTTTTTTTTAGGAAGTTGTTGGGATTCAGCCGGGTTCTTTTTTCTTTCAATGTAGATGTATTTACGCCTACATTGACACAGTTTAGGTCATTTACGAGACAAGTTTGACCCTGCCTGTCAGGGCTAACCCTGGCTAAGGGGGACACAACGTCCAAACAGAAAGACCGAGCTACTCGATGAAAACTCTCTCCACAAGGGAATCAACCTGAGGTCTTTTGCTAACGACGTCAAAGGGCCTAACCACTACACCACACATATGCCGGTTCCATCACTTCTTGAGCGTGTGTCACTGACCAACGTAGCTCTTTTGTGGGTAGGTGTTAGGGTCTTTGCTTCCACATGGGGCGATGACAGAGAGTACAAATACTTCAAACTCTGGTGTCACCAGACTTGTCCAAGTGTCCTATGTGATAGTGTGCAGCATGCACGAACCTGGGAAAGTATACAATAGAACCGAATGAATGAATAGATTTCTCAATTATCAAATAAAAAAAAATATAAAGCTTCAATTATGATGATAAACCTGTTTTGAAATTACAGAAGACAACCATCTATAGTGAAGGAGAAAAGTTGCTATTTCGACCTGTAGACATCTTGGATAGTGTCAATATTATGTGTCACGACGTGGAGGAATCAGGCGCTCGTCAGTTTCGGGGCATATTGGATTATTAAGAGCATTTTAAAGCTTGTTCGTTTGTCTCGATTTTAATGAAAAAATGCCCATCTATCTTGAATAAAAGTCGAGATTTGTGATTGAAGGAGGTGGGGGTCGGCTGGTGGCTAACTCTGACGTGAAATTATCGGGAAAACTGTGGCCAAAGTTTGGTGATTTCCAAAGCAGGCGAATTCGTGGGAGCAGCAAATTTAATCTTTTGTTCCGTTCATTGACGTTCTTATTTTGGCTGAGTCCTTACACAAATGAGTTCTTAAAAGGACATTAAAAATATTGAGCTAAATAAAAGTAAATCGATGAAAATGACCCCACAGAAGGGAAAATGTCGGTTTCTTAAATTTCCTTATCTTGACGAGCATCTGATTTCACTATGATGCCGAAGATATTTTTTTCCACCCGAATGTTGACGTGGGATTTGAAGGT